CTACATAAATATTTTCCAATTTATGAAACAATATACCTAAATTATCAATTTTAACATTAGGTTTTTGATATACAAGTTCAAGTCATATAACTTTTTTTATGTTTTAAACTCATTACATAGTTTAATATAAAAAGCCAATCCACCACCACGATTTGGCCGATTTAGTCGAACAAATTCATAGTCAGTGACTATCCAACAATCTTTCACAAACATTAACTATGTTAAGAAATATGAAGACATTATATCGGAGAATAGTTCTGTGTTTAGAGATCGAACATTTACATGTCCCAAATGCCCATTTAGTTTTTTGATTTTACAATAGACGCCGTCTATTAGACGGTCTTCATTTTTGAGCCTTAATTTTCTTGTGGTATTCTCTTTGCATTTTTGTTTTAGCTTTATTAATCATAACATTCATTTGGGTTTTTTAAAGTTGTGAGCTTCTATTTAAGTGTTCATAATAACCTTTAGTTGTCTATTTTTATTTTGTGTTGCCTTACCTAAACTAATGGATGGTTTATAATAGCAATAAGCCTAATTTTATTTTTTTACTACTATTCTTTAAACATTCATTTTCAATGCTTTGGTATATAATCACTAGCACTAATCTCTTACCATAATCTCATACTATCTAAAAATGAATTTGTCAAAAATTACTAATTTAATAGATATTAGTGGCTGCTTTTTCACTTGTACCATGGTTAACCATGAGATAGCATGGTATCCCAAAGTTAATGTAACTTGTATCCCAAAGTTAATGTAACTTATGTAAAATTATCCCCTGAATCCGAAAATGTCGTCAAAAGATAAAAAGTTTTTGAGATATAGTCAATTTTCCATTTAATATTTAATTGACTATATCTCAAACACTGCTCCACTTTCATAATTTGACTGTATTTTCGGATTCAGGGGCAATTTTACATAAGAATTGGCTGCTCCATACCAAACGGTCTTAGACCTAGGTAAACAGCTACCGATACTGAAGAGCTCCAAAAAAGCGAAACATGCCGAATTAAACAAAAGTGAGACGAAGTAATCGCAAAATTGCGGAATTTTACAAAAATAAGCGAATACGAGCAAATTATTAAAATGATTTTAATAAAATGAATTTAACAAGTTCGTTTGTTTTATGGTAATTAAACTAGACATATCAAAAGCAACGATCCAGTATGTAATTTTTTCATCAGTACCCTAGTAGTTCTATATACAAAACAGGAAATTCTAAAGTTGTCTTTTTAATAAGTAAATTCAGAAGGACTCTTTAAAATGGTTAATTGCAAAGTCAAAGAAAGGGTTCCTCAAGAGTTATTTTTTAAGAAGTCTTGATTAGTTCGATAGGTGGCGCATTTGAAGTCTTAAGAACTTCTTAAAAACTTCCTTCTGATGTTGTCTGACGTCCAAATCATAAAATAGAGCTTATGCAGACTTAATTAAGACGTCATATTGCTGTCTGGGATATATTTTTACATACTTATATAAAAAAAAGTAAATAATTATTATATAATACTATCACCCATAATATAACAAGTGGTATGATTATCATCGATGATATTTTCGAATTGAAACCGAGCTGCAGATTTCACGAGTCCGCAGGACGAGTGAAATGTGCTGCTTCGGTTTTAATGAGTAAATATCATCGATAATTAATCATACCACGAGTTATATTTAGTGAGAAAATATAATGAATTTTAGGATTTAACGAATTTTTAGTTTGACATTTGAAATTAAAATGTGCTTTAAAATATAAAAAGACTTTAATAAACCTTATTTATTCAAACTTACCTTAATTTCATTATCGTTTACACCAACCCATCGTTTTTTTAGAGTTTTTAATTCATTATTTTATTGATATATATCAAAAACAGAATTTAAATGACAACAAATGTCAAATCAAAAAAACGTCAAAATTCATAGTAACGTGTAAACAAGATGATAAAAAATATTGCCGCTGTGATAAAATACGTCACTATGGAATACTGGCATTTTATTGGTTCTAATATTAATGAATTATATTGTCACCCATAATATAACAAGTGGTATGATTATCATCGATGATATTTTCGAATTGAAACCGAGCTGCAGATTTCACGAGTCCGCGGGACGAGTGAAATGTGCTGCTTCGGTTTCAATGAGTAAATATCTTCGATTATTAATCATACCACGAGTTATATTTAGTGAGAAAATACAATGAATTTTAGGAATTAAAAAATTTGTCAGATTGACATTTAAAATTAAAATGTGCTTTAAAATATAAAAAGACTTTAATAAACCTTATTTATTCAAACTTACCTTAATTTCATTATTGTTTACACCAACCCATCGATCTTTTAGAGTTTATAATTCATTATTTTATTGATATATATTAAACACAGAATTTAAATGCCAACAAATGTTAAATCAAGAAAAGTGTCAAAATTCTTAGTAACGTGTAAACAAGATGATAAAAAATATTGCCGCTGGGATAAAATGCGGAACTATGGAATGCTGGCATTTTATTGGTTCTAATATTAATGAATTGTATTGTCACCCATAATATAACAAGTGGTATGATTATCATCGATGATATTTTCGAATTGAAACCGAGCTGCAGATTTCACGAGTCCGCAGGACGAGTGAAATGTGCTGCTTCGGTTTTAATGAGTAAATATCATCGATAATTAATCATACCACGAGTTATATTTAGTGAGAAAATATAATGAATTTTAGGATTTAAGGAATTTTTAGTTTGACATTTGAAATTAAAATGTGCTTTAAAATATAAAAAGACTTTAATAAACCTTATTTATTCAAACTTACCTTAATTTTATTATCGTTTACACCAACCCATCGATCTTTTAGAGTTTATAATTCATTATTTTCATTTCATTTCATTTAACAAACACAGTATTTAAATGTCAACTAATGTAAAATCAAGAAAAGTGTCAAAATATTTAGCAACGTGTAAACAAGATGATAAAAAATATTGCCGCTGGGATAAAATGCGGAACTATATGGAATGCTGGCATTTTATTGGTTCTAATATTAATGAATTGTATTGTCATGTGCATATTGTGCAACTGTTTATGCTCGTTAATTAACTAAATTACAGGGTCTATAATATATCATATTACGTTACTTTTGAAAGAAAGGGAAATTTCTATTAATATATTAGGCTTTTCACCACTAGATTCCATAACCAGCTCCTTTTTTTGAAATTTTTGTACAGTTCATTTTTTTTTATCTGGACTCGTGTTTTTTTGTTTGGTTGGTGGCTTATGCCAGTTTGACTTAGTATTTTTAGTATTTAAAAATTGTACTTCTGCTAAAGAATTTAACGAGGGGTAAACCACTGATTTTTTTAAATTAAAAATCGCTTACAAATTAACGGCTAAGGATAACAATAACAAGGGTAGTCATGTACAACGCATCGCTAAGCACTAATTAAGCACCGATTAAGCACCGGTTAAGCAAGTTTTCCTTATTAATAACGACTGATAAGGAAAAAAATCTCAACACAACGTCCACTAACATTGAACGGTTGTCTCTAAGATTTTAAAGTGGTTTACCCCTCGGAATTTAATTAAATACTTTGACACTGTCAAATTGACAATAATATTTATTATTGATAGTTTACTTGTCAATTATAAATAAATAAAAAGATAATTATGCCAAAAATAATAGCAACGAGTTCGAATGGAGGGCAAAACTTCATTTTGATGAAATTATGCCAAATGCCACAATGGAAGGAAAAGTACATCGCCTTATGGACATTTTTGGAGTAAAAAAGTAACGAATTTGGTTTTATAAATATTACATCACACATTATTTTCACATTATTCCCCATTGGACAACATTTACGTTCACAAAGAATTTTAATTTCTTTTGTATAAATTATTTTCAAAGCGAAGATTATTATCCGCTAGGAATACTTTCTCTTCTGGGCCGTAAAGCAACCTATATTTAACTACTCTTTTTATATGATTTTACTCATCCAAGCAACACCAAAGCCAAATTAATTGCATTTTTAACTACGAATTTCGATAACTCAACTTGAAAACTGCACAATGTAACCTACAATAATTTATACATAACCACAATTAGATTTATAACTAGCTTAGTTTGATTTAATCAATGCGACCAACTTGACAACTGTATTAACCAACCAAAACCCTAAATTTGCAACGTTGTCGCAGTCCAGATAAAAAAAAATAAACTTTATTTGTGCGGTGTTTGAGAAAAGGTCTTTAATTATTTTTCGAGTTTTCATTTAAAAATATATAGTATTAAATATGTTAAAAATTAAAGCATTAATTTTAATTAAGTCATATTATATATAATTAAATCATTATTTGGATAACGCTTATCGAAAAGGAATCAAGCTCCAAAAACTTTTTCTGGGCTTAGTAAAATTATTAAAATAAATTAAATTAGTAAAATAACTCATATTTAATGATGCTCAAAAGGTTAATCATCATTTGGAACTTTTCTCAAAAGGATTGAGAAGGTTCCCAAATCATTATTAATTTTTTGAGCAGCATTAAAAATGAGTTATTTTGCAAATAATTTTGTTTACCCCAGAAAAAGTTTTTGGCGGTTGGTTCCTTTTCTACAGGGTGTTATGTAATTAATGTTATATATTAAAATGGGTTGTTCCTTAGGGTCCATAAAGAAGCACCAGAAACTTTTTTTTCTAAATTCCAAAGTCTAAAAATAATTTATAATAACCTTTATCCTACCAAAAAGTACGCCACTGATCGACTAGAAACTTTATTATGTTATGGTTGGTAACAACAGTGTTTCCAAAATCTGTCAAAAAAGTTGTAGTAGTTGCAGTATTTTAATATATAACATTAATTACATAACACCCTGTATAAACGCTATCCATTTTATAAAACATTTATTTTTTTACATTTTGAAATAATACAATATGGCACCAAAAATTGTTTTTTTATTATAAATAAATACATATTTTATTACTTTACACACTTAACTTTGTTTTTGTGATATAAATAAACAATGTGGCAACAATGGGCTGATTAGACCCTCCCACAATGACTCGCGCACGCTTAGAAACTTTGCTTGAGATTTAATGTCTCATAATCAAGAAGACTAAATACTAAATACTAAATATTTAGTCTTTTTTCTCCTAAAAAACAGCTGATTAACTTTACCTTTTAAGGTTAGGTGACACTGAAAGCGCTTATATCGTTATAACGATACAGAATTTTTAACTGTAGAAAATATAACGCCAAGAGATTTATATTTATGTATTTATATGTTTTACATTAATACAAAAATAAATAAAAAACAGGCAAACTAAACTAATACTGAAAAATAAATAAAACGGCATTATAATGCCAAATTTGCCCATTAATACTTGAAATATTTTCGTTATAACTAATGCGCTTATAGAATGTTCTATAATAAAAAATTTAGTCATTGCTGTTCTACAGTTGGATGGAAAATAATCGTTTATTAGTGTAAATGGTAGATTGCCTAAGCCTATGGAGTGAAAAACAACGTAAAATAGCATAATTATCACAGATGCGTAAGGAAAATATAATTCGTTAACATTATAATAAATAATAATAATTTGTAGTGTTAAAGCTATGAATATAGAGATATTGGAGAATATCAGCATGTATCTTTTATTGTATTTTGGGGGTAACAAATATACCTAAAATGTTACCAAATAAAAAAAATATTACGTAGACCATAGACATATATATTGGGTGTTCTACTTTACATTTTGAAAACATAATTTGGCAATAAATAATCGTGGAAGGTACCCCAGTAAATTGTTGAAAAAATGTTAGTATGGCAATGTTAAAAAAGTCCAATCTAAGGTTTGAATCTTTAAGAATACCTAAAAAACTAACATTTATTTCTTTAGAGGATAACTCCATTTTCATTTTGTTTATAACTTCTTGTACATTTGCTTTAGGATTAACAGCTTCTATAACATGCTTAGCATACTTTAAATTATTAGATTGTATAAACTCTTTAGGCGTATGAGGCAAAAATGCAACCAAACAAAATATACACGCCGAAATAATGGATGCTATAACACTTACATCTTCTAATTTGACAAAATTTCCGTATGAAAACATAGTTATAACTCCAACACAAGTCGCAGGCATGGTTAAATTTATTATACCACTCGATAATTCCTTTTCACACATTTCCGAAATATATTTTTTTATTTTGGAAACACAAAAACCATAACCAAAACCTGTTATGAACCTGCCCAGTAAAACCAAATAAATGCTGTTGGCCCGCCATAACACTATCCAACCCAATGTCATTAAAAAACTTCCAACGGTCATGGAGTTTTTAGGGCCGATCCATGTAGCTGAAGATAACGGTGTGGCGACTGATAGGCCAATCATTAGAAAGCCAGCTATCATCGCTGATTGGTCGAGGTCTATTGGGATTGGTGATGATTCTAGTAGATATCTTGGATATGTTGGTGATGGCCAGGCTAGCATCATTCCGAATGGTATGTTTAATAATATGGCTAAAAATAATATAAAAACTTGGTTATTTAGTAAAATTGGTATAGAAAACAATTAAACAATTTTAACAATACCTATGAATGGTAAGTGTTTTCAATAAATAATAAATTAAAAATAAAAAAATTTCAAGATGTAAAAAAATTTGCAAAAATATTGCTTTATACAAGTTTTAAAGCTATTATATATTAAAATTATTAAGTACCCAGGAAAACGTTTTCCCGTATTGCCCAGCACATTCACTATTTTTGCAATAATATTATGTAAGTTTTCGTTATTTCTTGTATTTCAAGTGCATAATATAAATACAAGAAATAATGAAAACTTACATATTGAGTTTCATCGATTAAAACGAACTAAACATTCAATAACCTATTGGGGACCTATGTGTATGTATAACAAATTACCCAAGCATGTTAAAGAAATGCCGTTAAAATCATTTTGTAATTTCATAAAATTATATTTAATTGAAAAAGCCTTTTATAACCTTTAGGAGTTTCTGAATAATGATATGTTATAAATTTTTTGTATTAATTGGTTTTTATTACCTTTAGGTATATTGTACTGTTGTATGCAAATAAATAATATTTATTATACTTATAAGGTATAAGGTATTTTATGTAAATGCTACTTAGTTAGTCTCATTTATTTATTATTATCATGTATTATATTTTTTGTGACGAGTGTAAATACTTATTGTATGTTAACATGAATAAAGCATTATTATTATTATTATTATTATTATTAATTTTAAAATAGGGTTAAAATTTAATCACCTTTTAATAAAAAAGGTAGTCTGAATTTTAAAAGCATTTAATATGGGTTGCTACAAACGTTTAATGAAAATATGAGATAGGTATGCTAAACAGAATAGGTAATTTATGAATGCATTTTTATCGAAAATGTTGCATCAAGAGCAAATTTTTTATAAAAAGGCTATACATTTAAATATTAACCCAGAAAAAAATTGGGGTTGTTTTGTACCTTTACTCCCCTCCTCATTGAGCACACTTCGAATTTATGTTAGATAGGTAAGAAAAAACCCAAAGGAACTACAAACTTGCACATGCTTGATTATTAAAACGTAAAACGTACAACTTACCGGGAAAAATCGCAAACAACTGGCAAATTAACGAAAACACATTTTGTAAAATTTTTAACTTCATATTATTATTGAATACCCATTTACCTTAAAACTATAGCAGAAAAATTGATACCTATTGTTTATATATTTATTATCAAGCACGGACTAATTTTTTGTTTTATATTTTAAATAATAATAACAACATCAAATAATATTTTAAGTCGATAATTGGAATCTTTTAGCACCGATTAAGTTTTAATAAATAAAACAAACCGCGTCAAACCTGTCGCATATCTGCCTTGACACAGGTACGGAAACAAAGGGGACAATGGGTCCATTTCTCCAGCACTTTATTTTGACCAATTTCAAAATTTGTTTCTGTTATTTGGTTCTCTATGGAAAAAATAATCATATCCAAAATGTCAGCGAATTTTACAGTATAAACAATGGATAGTTTTTTTAGAATATTTCCAAAATTTAACAGTGGAGAATTATAAAAAAATTTACTTAAACATTTTTACAAACTGCCTTATAAAAAATTATTACAAAGAATTAAAGAAAAAACAAAAAAATTTGATATTTTGAAAACCCGTCATTTTTTATAAATTAGAAAAAATCACTCGTATAGTTCTAAAATTTAAGTATTTTTTTGCGCACTCGAAAACTGAAGGAGTTAGAAACTTTTTTCATAAAAGCGCGTTAAATCAAGCCGCTGATCGACGGCAATTTTCGATTTACACCACGCTTTAGATTATAATATGCCAGCTAGTAGATGGTTGGGTTGGTCAAACACTTTGATTTTATTTGTGCTTTCACACTTCTGCCGTTCCTCTAGGAAATCCGTTATAATATTCTTCGTTACACCTGGGCTGGCCGCCCTTTTGGACTGGTCACGCTTCCAATTCCTGGGTTCTTTAAGAGCCTGCCTTTCATACATCCTAGTTTTAACTAGATTTAGCTGTAGTTTAGGAAAATAATTAAACGGTTCTTAATTATTGGTGACTTTGCCACCTTCTGAAACATTCTCTTTTCTTCGCTCTAGAAACAGGGGTATAATATACCATGTATCACAATCATGTGAATCATTGAAGAGGGAGCCCAGATTGCGGCCGCGAGGCTGTCGTGCCTCCGCTCCGTTTGTACTAACAGTTATATGCATTATGTAATAGCATAATACAGCAACTCATGTACACTAACATAACATTTAATATTATAGAAATAAATTTAAAAGAAAACAGCCTCGGGGCATGGTAGGGATGGGGGAGACAGAGTGGTTAGCATGGGCTTGTGGGCCTGGACATCGGGACAGGCGAACAGACAGGTATTTTGAGCTTAAACATGGCCAAAACTCAATTTTGTTAATTTTTATTACTAGATCTAAGATTGCGTCTCAAAACAGATAGATACCATCTTTTGGTGTGGTTCCTACCTGAATTGGCCATCCCAGTCCGCGGTACCAACAGCTCCTTTAAATCGTTCGCGACACTCTACAAAAACACAAATTTTCGCCGTGTTGTTTTTTATGTTGAAAGTAATGTTGGAGGAAAAAGCTGGTATGGATATCATGCAACATTTTATATGTGTTATAAACTTTATTTATACATCAGTCACGTTCCAGCACTTGACAAGGCAAGACGCATTGTAGCAGCGAGAGCTCTTAAAACGTAAAAGACAAAACCAACAAATAATTTCTCAAAAGTGCAAACAAATTATAGTGAAACAACTACAGTGAGTATAGATTACCCTACGGTCAAGAACGAGTTAAGAGTTAAGTGATAAGAAAAAATTAAGTGACAAGTGAGCTTCTTGGCGGTCATACCACCCCTCAACTGGACGCTTTTCACTAGACAAACAAAAGAGATCAAACAAGAGGGAAAGAGGCCATCCGCAAAAATTGGTAAGTATCTTCAAGCATATGCATGACCTAACACATAATTTGCAAAATTAAACACGATAGATACCTTTAAAACCCTAAGAAAGGCACACTGCTTAAACTCTAGAAAAAAAACAATAAACATCAGTAACAATAGAAACATTAAAAAAACAATACTAACCAAACACACAAAACACGAACTAACCAAACACACAAAACTTCCCATTCGAACACCAAAGCTGAGTAGGACAATAAATCAGTCAACCAATCCAGTAAAGAACGGCCCCAACAAAACAATGTTAATTATAACCCAAACGAGACCAATAATAAACATTTGACACTAACATAAACTAACACTCAATAAATCATGAAAACCCAAACATAGTAAAAACAGCATACTAATTAAAGTCTATTGGATTTGAAAACACATTAGACTATAAGAGAATAATTGAGCTTGTCATTTGTTTAACTAATAAATAAATGCAATACTTAATTTTGGAAATTAAGAAAAAAAGACAAAACAATTCTACCACAAAACGTACTTGGGCAACACAATAACTAAAAAATTGTTAGAAATTTCGCACTGCTGCGGCAATAAACAATTTAAAAAAAAATCAAAAGCTAGAAGTTACATATCCAACTACTGAACTATCTATTGATGGTTTTCGGCCTCAAGACTGAAGACACATGTGCAGGAACAATCCTACTTGGACACGAACAATAACGACAAAAACGTAGACCAAGACGTAGGCTCCTGCAGCAAAATAACAATTCCCGAACTAACTGCCTGGTCTGGCGGGTACCGCATTGTACTTAGGTCGGAGTAATTGTCCTCCAAACACCAAAATATCTATCCCTCCCGTCCAACCTCCTTCATGACCCTACTGGGCGTATGCATCTCTTAAAAATTTACCCTTGAAAACAGACAGTATAAGATTTTTAGGTAAATGTATATATTTTTTTTAAAGGGCAACAAAAATTTAATATATGTTTAATTTTAATATTTTTATTGCATAACTTGCATGTAAGTAGCTACTTTGTAATTTTTTTATAATAAATTTTTGAATATAGATACATATTGTTTTATTTATAGTAAAAATACCTACTATATATTTTTGGCCACGTTTTAGGTCAAAATACCTGTCTGTGCGGAGCCCTTGGGTATAGTAGCATGTTTTTCTCAATTTTATCTGTAACTTGTTGAGGCCGGATGCGTCCATCTAATCAATATGTATTTTTTTTACTCGACTAAGTAAAAGTAAATAAAATAATATTCCAAATTGACGGATAAAACGTTTATTTTAGTATTTAAAATAAACTTTAATATTAACTTTTTATAGGCATTTAATCAGTATAAGTTTTTACAGCACATAACATTAGTTTGTATACAAACTAATGTTATGTGCTGTAAAAACTTATACTGACGATATGATAAGTAGTACTTCTGTATTTATCTAATGCTAAGCAGCCTCTAATCTCATCAAGAAAATCACATATAAATCGAACCTTACCTCGTCTCATAATAAAATAAAAAGGTTGTCCTCGTCGTCACTTATTTAAATTAAACACTATTTAATCAAAAGCAAACACTTTTTACTCTGTCTTTACACTATTTAATTGAACACCTAAGTACGAAAAATACCAAGTACGAACACTTTTGCCGGCTGGCTGTGTGGACGTGTAAGCCAGTCGGCAAAGTCTGGGGAATAATCAAGGGATAAAAATCGATTTTTTTCAATTGATTTTTAATCCGATTAAAATAAAGTACTGCTACGACGTCATAGTATGAATATTATTCAAACATCTGTTGGCCTGTTATTACAAAAATGGTTCTATAATCTCAAAAATGTGAGTGATACTCTTTGGTCATTGATTGAAATTTGCGACGTTGAACAAAAAGCCAAGCGGTCTTTTTCGACTAGAAATAGCGATTTATATTAAGTTTTGGAATTATGTAAAGAACTAATTGTACGAGTCAGTATTTACAGAGTTCTACGATGAGTCTTTGTACAGCCGAAATCTTTCGTGGAATCTAAAAAAGACGCGTTGGAATCATATGAAAGTGCAGTTTCGATCTTTGAATGTTCGACTGAGCCCTCAGATTATGGAAAAGCGCCTGTTGTGCAACCGTTACCAAAAAAAAAATCGAACTGAACCTTTTCTTCCTGTCTCGTTGAATGAACGAATTTTTTGATGAACGATTCGGTTTCTTGACTGAAATGATTACAATGAAACCTTCTTAGTTGAAACCCTAGACCAAACCAATAGATGAATATCTTATGTCGGATGTCGAGACAGTATTATAATATTTAGCCAAGCCAAGAGAGGGCGCGGATTTTATAATTATTTGACGTTTTGACGTTTTTAACCTTTTTGACGTTGAATTATATCCGTAGTTATCGCATTTTTGTAATATTTTGTGTATTTGTGTGTTTTTATTGTGTATTGTTTCTAAGGTTTGTATTATAATAATAATTTATAAACGACACTTTGACCGAATCATAATCTTTCAGATGATAGGATTTATGGATTTAACATTATTTTTCAATTTCAAAATAATGATCAATGAGACAGTTACTTTTGGTAGACTTTCATAAATAACAAAAACAATGTTTCTTACCATATATGAATGATAGGTACCTACTTTAGAGAATAAGTATGATAATATTTCAACGAGTTTAACAAATTAAAAAAATCACAGATTTTACAAATGAATACTAAATACACTTGTTTTACATACATTTGTTTTCCTCATTGCTTTTCCATAAATCTGCGAATTTCTTTAGTTTATAAAAGTTGATTGAGAATTACTAAACAGCATAACCACAGAAGTACCTTAAATACATGGTAGAAAACTAAGTTATTGTTACTAATTACATTTAAAATCTAACCACAAGTTAGATTTTTAATATAGCGCCATTGAAATAACCAATCAAATACGTTGATTTGCCACCAATTAAAAGCTGTTGGCAACAGTTGCCTGTAAACACGTAATTTAATTTTTAGCCAAGTTCAGAGAGGGCGCTTCATTTGGCTCCAAACTATATATTCTTTAAGATAGATCTATTGGTTTGGTTTAGGGTTGAAACTAAAGGCTGAGAATCTCGACAACCCAAACATCACATATGTTTAAGGCTATTCAGTTTCTCATATGTTGAAAGTATTGACCTTGAATCTTTCTGAACAGCTATACATGTTTCTAGGACAAATTCGCAAGTCTTAAACTAAAATTGTGTTAGATAATTATTTTAAAAATCATTGGTCATATTTTATACATTAAATGAACTACTAAGTATTTTTAGAATTTGTGTATTTTCTTAAGTTGTCTTTAAGTTCAAGTCTTGGGAAAAACGTTTTATGCTGAACTCCAAAGCTTCTGGCAGGGCCATTAAGTCCATCCTTAAATGGAAAATAATTATTTGTTACTTATTTTTACATACTTTTAGTGACTTAAAGGCCCATGTATTTATAATGGCAAAAAAACTACGTACCTATTTCTTACATGGAGACTGGCAATGTCAGGGAAACAGTAAAACAGCTTAATGACATTAAGGATAAATAACTAGCCC